GGAGTTGGTCAGCCAGGGTGATCCCAGCTGAAGGCATTCAGAGAAAGGATATCTTCAGCTCTTCATTTCTTGAGCTGTGGTGGAAAAGCCAGACAGTGTTTTCAGGTTGTTACAATCATGAAAAAAAGCTGCAGACAGCAGTTGGCTTTTGGGGCTTGTTCTGGAAATTAAAACTAGTTCTTATATAAACACCCGAGCCCCACACCGGGATGTTTCAAGAAAAGACACAGTGTCACACCAATGTTGTGACATTCAGACAGTCAAAGATTTGACTCTGTTAATGCTTAGCAAAGATGTTGTCAGCCGCTCCCAGAGAGCAGGATCATTGCTCACCCAGTTTTCCTGCCACGCAGACCAGATGTGGCCTCCTTTCCCCTTGGCTCTGGAGCTGAATTAGGTGGAGGATGCCAAAAAGGAGAGAAGACCAAAGCCTTTTTTCCGCATACACTCTCAGTGGCTTGTGTCACTGTGGAGGTGAGCTCCTGGCACTTGCCGTAGGCGATGGGTGACGTCCTGCTCAGGGCTATATCAAACTAATGGATTCTTCCAACAGCAGAGGCACGAGTCCCCTGGGTTTTAGTGTCCCATCTGTCTGCAGCAGCTGCAGAGGGCAGCGGGAGGGTAATGCGGGACCCTTTACAACTTGAAACACCACAACTGGACATGTTGGTTGGCTACAGGCCTCTCCATGCTCATCCTGTCCTTTGTCAAAACCTGAATATTGCAATATGGTTCCTATTCTTCCCAAACACCCCCTTCCCTTCCCTCTGTGAGCTGCCTGGTTCTGCACCCACCACAGGTTTGGAAAGGCTGAGGCTGCAAGGCAGATGGGAGGCCAGCTGGATAGGGGGAGTTGGGAGAGCCAGACCAGCACGTGTCTTCATAGCAGGTGGCCTGGTGCAATAGGGAGAGCAAAGAAATAATCTTTGGGGATCTTCTCTTCCTTATTCCCTCACAGCAAAAGAATAAGCACCAAGCAAAGGATGCTGGCCAAGCATGAATTAGCTGTTAGAATAAAGAATTTATTTTGGTTATGGCTTATTGGGAGGGCTCACCATGCTGCTTTTATATTTGTCTCTTCCTAGTTTCCAAGGGGGTGCTGGGTTTGCCTTCAGACTGTAACCACGCTGAATGGGGAGAAGACAGAAAGATGAAGTGGGAAGAGGAGACAGGTCTTAGCAAGTGCCCTTAGCTCTGCTCCGAGCCTCCAGCCTGGAGCCTAAGCTGGGAGAGCAAAATAGAAATAAGCAAACAGCTGGCTCAGTAAGAGGCAATGATTAAGGAATTGGCAACTGAGATCTTGAGCTTTTTCTGTTACCTTTTCCATTTTTGCCTTTTCCTCTTCTTTTGCAAATGGAAAGCAGCAAAGAAGGCCAGGAAGGAATGAACACCAAGGGAAGCCAGCATTTACACAGGGCAAGGAAGAACGTGTCCTCACCCCTGCTCTCACCAAGGCATGTCTGGCAGCTTCTGTGCAGCCCCAGGAAGGACTGCAGGGCAGATGTGCCCTACGACCCGGTATGAAAAGTTAAAACATCCAGTGCCTTACCACTGCCAACCTGAGTGAGCTTCACAGAGACAACATGAGCACGAGAGCAAAAGCAAGAGCACCTCTCCAGGTCCCAGTACAGCTCCATGAGGGTACCAGCACCGGCCTCGTTCCTTTGGTCTCCCCCACTAAACACGCATTTCTCTGCATTGTTAACAGCACTTTCCAATGGTCTTCCCATGGGAAAGTTATTGAGCATCCCACATATCCTTTCTCCTTCACTCATTTTTTTTCCTTCCTACCCTCCGGAGATGCAGCATTTGTTTGGCCTGAGCTCGTGGGCAGAGCTTGGATGGGTTTATATGCTCCATGCCTGAACCCATAGACAATTACAAACATAGCTGGCTGCCTGGCTTTGTTAATTAGCCAGCAGCAATGCCTCATTTTCCCCTCTGTGGTTTCCTTCTGAATTAGTAGGGCACCACTCATTAGTTCTCTTCGGCTTTGGGATGCCACAGTTGAACATTACGGCATCCAGAAATGCCAGTTCATTGAGAGTATGAGCTTGATTTGTTTGGACAATAAAAAAATTTTAGTTACATTTAGATAATTAGAATCATAGAATCATTAAGGTTGGAAAAGACCTCTAAGATCATCGAGTCCAACCGTCAGCCCAACACCACCATGCCCACTAAACCATGTCCCTAAGTGCCGCATCTACACGTCTTTTAAATACTTCCAGGGATGGTGATTCAACCACTTCCCTGGGCAGCCTGTTCCAATGTTTAACCACTCTTTCAGTAAAGAAATTTACTGAAAAAGAAAAATTAAAGAAAATTAAGCAAATTGATTGAAGGGAAACAAATATCTGAATTCGGGTGGGATAACTCCCTCCTCTTGCTTGCCTCTTTCCTGATGGAGAATCATGTGCAGAAAAATCTGCTATGGCAGACTCAGTAAGTTTTAGTGCTTTGTTCCCCCTTCAGAACCCAAAAGCAACTTTTGGGAAGAGGGACAATGGGAGAAATACCAAAAATCCCTTTGGTCAAGGTGTCATGCCTGGCTGATGCCCTTAGGAAGCCCGTGTGCCAGGTCAGAGGTATTCCAGCACCGGGGTCAGCAGGCAGAAAGGGAGGAAAGGTGCATTTTCACCAAAGGCTAGAGGGTGATAAGGGTCTCCTCATGAACTGCTGCTTTGGGATTGAACCCACTTTGTGCTACTTCATGTTTTCCTCAAAAGCAGTCACCACTTACCACGGTGACACCATTTACCAAGGTTACAGGCAGACTAAATGCCGATGTGCATTTATTAATAAAGACTTGTTTTTGTTTTTCTGATCTGCACCCTGGAGTTTGGGCTCAGTTCAACCAGGAATAGCACTTCCAGCAACTTGATGCTTATTTAAGTACTTAACACTAAATAACAGCAGTAGCAACCAGGGTGGTAAAATAATGTTTTATTCCATGAATGAACAAACACTACCATGCCACATCCTAAAGTTCTTTCTACAAAAGATTGTGGACAAAGCAGATTTTTACATTTCTTGGGTCAAGTTCATTTCAGGCTTTTGAGCCTGTTCAGTGTAGCAAAATCTGGACACGCAGCATTCTTATTGTCTATTTGGCATTTTGCCAGATAAAGCAGATTTATACCGTAGTTCTTGTTCACACAATGTTGATGCACTGTAAATTAAAGAAGATAATCAAAAGCAAACTAGGTCATTTCTGTGGTTTATCAATATATTTTTCATGATGGTCAAAGTACAACCAACATTCAAAGCTTAAAATAACGATAATAAAAAAGACACACTAAAGAACACAATGGAAACATCATCGTTGCTGTCAGGATGTGAGTTTACCCACAGTACTATGTAAAAAGTAGAAACCGGCATTGACATTCAAGCTGTCAAAACAAGAAAAGAAATTACATTAATTGTTATATTTCCAAGCTAGTACTTCTAAGGAGTCCTGATCAGCAAAGAAGTGTTATCGCATGCATGCTGAACACAAGACTAGTATTGGATCGGGGACCTGACAAATAACAGACTTACATTCCTTTATATACAACAAAATGAAATATACAGTATTAATACTGGCTGTACATTTGGTCAGAATATTTTACAAGGAGCGACACTAGTCAAAATTCTTATGACGCAGTAAGTGGAAGTGAATGAATGTTGGATTTCTTTCTGAGAGTTGAGTTTTTTCACAAGAAGTTTTAAAAGTTCCTTTGCACTGCTATAATGGAGTGTTAGATATTCTAAAGCAAAAATGCTCCCATTTTTTTTCTTTTATGCTAGTGTGAGCGGAAGAGATAATTAAACGTGTTTGGAATGTGCTAATCATTGACCTGGAATAAAACTAAGCCACAGACAGCATGTGCAATAAACCTCTCCACATTGGTTCTGTTTAAATGGCTTTATGAGATTATCTGTGAAGTATCTGGTACAAATTTCTGCTACCGTAGCCTCATCTAGTCATCCCCCAACAGGTTGCCAACCAACCGTTCCAACACTAAAAGAAGAAAAAAAATAATTGTGACTGTCACATATTTTTCTATAGTACAATAAAAATATCTCAATGTTAAGCTGATTTAGCTTATTTATATGCATATCTTTCAAGGCTGCCGGAGAAAATACTCAATCTTGCAGGCAAAGGCTATGTCGGGAACATGAGAGTGAGATTGCCTTTGCTTTAGTCTAACAGATTTTTTAATGTCTGGGTACCTCAACCCTGTTGCCTCTTTAGAACCCTAAGGTCTAAAGTGAGTTGGATAATTCAGTGTATGTTTTTACCCCATCCAGAACAAGCTGAGAAGCTGATAAGGTAAGCATGAGACCCAGTGAAAACAGAAGTAAAAGCTATACAAAATTAAGAAATAATTACAGGAAGGTAAAGATCAGTGTAACTATAGCAATATTTTGTACAATTGAATTTGTGTGTCCTACAGCAATGAGAAACCTTCTGAACATGGGAAAGAGCAGGCAAGTATGTATGAATCAGTATCATTTAAAATAATTGTGCTATAATCTTTTCCATGTATTAGGTTAGATCTTTTTTCTGACACGGTGTGATGCTAACTATAGTAACCTTAATACAGATGACGGATTTCACTGCTACTGCTCGATTGCTTGAATGCAAAGAGACATTAAATCTTCCAGTCCTCAAAGCGGTTTCTTGGGGTGTTCCTTCAAGTTCAGTGTCTTGCCACTTTCACGCTAGAAGTCACTTTGTGGCAAACAAAAAAAGAAAGAAAAAAAAGGGGGGGAAAAAAAGAAAGAAAAAGAAGATGTTGGTTGTGATGGATTAATTTCAGACAGCAGTTTCTGCTGAGTTCACCATGCTTAATGTTCTTCCATTTAGGAAGGAGTTGCTGTCAAGTAAAGCAGATGAGCTGCTTTCAGTTTTCTTTAAATACATGCTAACAACTTAACATCTCTTTCTTCAGGAAAATGATCCAGTTGCATATTGTTAGAGAGATCTGCCTTGTGCTTAGCATGAACAAGTAGGGTTAATCGTCGTCCTCCTCCTCTTTCAGTGGGGCTATCAGGAGTTTGTCCTGAACTTGGAAACATGCTACAAAGAAGTTGACAATGGAGTTGTACAAATGCTGCTCCAATGCTGCATTGTTAAAGTAATGGCTTTCATCGGGGTAAATCTGCAAAGAAACAAGAAAATACACACCGTTAGGAGCTTAAAGTCTCAGGACTGAGCATATCTGCAGCTCAAGCTGGCCTGCAAACCCACTGCTTCTCCTCAGCACTGTGTGTCTTCCCATAGATGCACATGAGGTCCAGGGTAATTCAGGCACCACAGTGCTCTGAGCGCAGACTTGCATCTTCCTTCAAAAGGAACTTTTTTGGGGAGGATTTTTCATTTAATTCCACTCTGAACAAGTTCAGGCTAAGCAGAACCAGACGACACTTAAAAATAACAGTGCTTGCTCCTTGTGAAAACTGAAAAAAACCCAGTGCAAGTCTGTGGAGAGAAAAGGTATTAGGTTTTACTGACTAAAATGAGGCCTTTAAAGAAAAAATGTCATTAAGTAAAAAATTGAAATAAAGCTTGCTGGAAAAGTAATTAAATAGAAAAAATGTGGGAAGCTAGAAATGAAATAGTTTAAACACAACTTTCCATTTTAATGAAACAGACAACTTCTGCACATGTTAAAGAAACACAAGAGGGTCGTAATGGGTTGTCTAGACCAGGATATTGAAAGGGGAAAAATGAGTTTCTAGGGCTGGATCCTTGCAGGCAGGACTAAGGTGTCTCACTGTGGAGTACCTCAATCCAAGACGTAGACCCCTCAGCCCTCTATTCAGTCCTCAACTAATCTTTGAGGTGCCTCTAGCTCATCAGTGGCTTCAAGCTCTAAAGTACTAATGCTTCTGCACTGGGAAATATGCAGGGGCGCCTCAGTCACTGTGCTGAGCCAACTTGTGCCAGGCTCGTTGCGTAGCTCCCGTGTCTGTGCTCCAGCCTATCTGCCTTTGGAGCATGATGGAGTGAGCATACCTGTCACATGAAGCTCCACAGAAATGCAGCCAGAGGGAGCTGGTATTCAGTAAATGAAGCATTAGCAGGACTTAGGCACTGCAACACAACCGTCTATACTGTGAGCATGGTCCCTGGCATGGTTCGATCCTGGGCTAGTTGCACTCTCCTGGCCGTGGCTTGAGATGTAGCAGAGGTCAGGGACCATCCCCATGGCTGGTGGATGGGTTCATTTTGGAAGCTTTAATGGCTTGGACATGGGCCATTCACCAAATCAGAGATGTAATTCAGCAGAAAGAGGGGCTTTCCAGACCAGAGCATGTCGTTCGCAGAGGAATGTCAGATTTAAGAGACATCTCTCTCCTTAACTTTTCTGGTTGATTTAATTTAGATCCCTGTTTCCCTGTAATTAATCCTGAATTTAGCCTGTTGTTCCCAAAGAAAGTAAACAGGCACCAATTCCTTAGAGATATGTCTCTCAAAACCTAATTTTCTGTAATTTAATAACTGTTCAACAACTGTCCAAACCAAAACAGTGGTATCAAATAAGCACAGGAGTACATAGGAACACATTATACACTGGTGCTATTTCTCCTGGCAGCCTGAGTTTGCAAGTGGCTTTTCAAAGCTTGCTTCATAACAGCAGTTTGAGTTCAAACTGGGAAATAACTGTTCAACTATGAAAAAAAGAAACACATACTGTACCTGCAAGCTGTAATTAGCCTTTGCCCTAATTAGGTGTGTGATAAGGTCGGCAGTATGCTGAAAATGGATTTTTTCTGTAAAAACAGATTACAATCATTAAAGAGGCAAATTTAATTAAGAAAAATCAAAGCCATCCCAAACATATAATGAGCTCAAATGATGGGCTAACTTACCATCAGCAGTAGCATGAATGATCAAAAATGTCTGTTCCTTCAGTAATGAGACTCTGTGTGCTAATTTGGTGATCTGTTGAAGGTAAAGGTTGCAATAAGATTAAAAATCTTGCTAGAAATTAGCAATTTATATGGAGAAAATAGAAGCACTTAATTCCATTTGATACTTCATCACAAGGATAACAAGCAGACACCAGCACAGCATATTCTCTTGGCTACTTGAATCAGTCTGGAGGTAAAATAGACCCCCACCCTGTCCTTCCAGGCTCAGTACCAGCAGCAGGAAGAGGTCAGAGACCCTCATCTGTTCTGGTAATGTTCACCAAAAGCCTGAACTGCAGAACACATGGAATATGTCAAAGTGAATTTCCAGTGAATACAAAACACCGATGAAACGCGTGCCCAGGTGCCTATGCCTAAGAACTCTTCAGAGAGCTGGAGTGACTTTGGTATGGTTTGAAAGCCAACCTTGATGAGCTTTGACAGCCTGGGGGAGGATCTGATACTAAATTCAAGTGTCCACTGCTGAGAATGCCTTTGCTGCCAACTGTCTTTCAGATGCACAGGGAAAATACAAATCTGAGTGACTGCAAATGGTACTGGGTAAGAGAAATTAAGGACTTGTCCACTTTTTGCTCCATTGTTCAGAAGAATACAAGTCTTAAGGAGACTCCAAAAGACTCCAAAAAAGTCTTGGAGTGGCAAAAGGAATGTATGTGTCAAATCACAGATGCTACTGCTTTATAGGGGTGTCCTGGTTTTGGCAGGGATAGAATTAATTTTCTTCCTAGTAGCTGGTACAGTGCTGTGTTTTGGATTTAGGATGAGATTAATGTTGATAACACACCGACGTTTTAGTTCTTGCTTAGTGCTTACACTAGTGAAGGACTTTTCAGCTTCCCATGCTCTACCGACTGAGAAGGCTGGAGGTGCACAAGAAGCCGGGAGGGGGCACAGCCAGGACAGCTGCCCCAAACTGGCCAGAGGGACATTCCATACCATGGGACGTCATGCTCAGTACATAAACTGGGGAAAGCTGGCCGGGGGGGCCGCTGCTCGGGGACTGGCTGGGCATCGGT